ATGGAACTTAAAGATCTCGTAAGAATTTGAAAAATTTTATTTTGAGATGGGGAGTATACAAGTAACTTTTACTCCCTTCGTTCTTGAAAAGTAGAGGTAAAAAAAGTTTTTTTTGATAGAAAGTGGAATTGTTTTGTTGAAAATGGAAAAAATTAAAAAATGAAGTGTTTTTGAGAATGCATGAAGTAAAAAAACACCCCGTGGTACTCTTTATGTTTTTATATTAGGTTCTAATTTAATTTTGACTTTTACCGTGTTTTTTTTTAAAAAAAATTGTGTGTTTATGCTAATCGGAGACACGTACTGCCTTGCCAATATCATATTTTCATTTTCTGAATGTGCTAAACTGATCATCATCTCATTTTTTTTAAAGATTAATTATTGACAAATGTCTAGATTAGGTTTTGTATTCATACCGTTGTACTTTGATTAAGTTTTGTAACATTTTTACATGAGAACTTAATAATGTGGAATTTGCACTAAATAGGACTAAAACATAATGACTTTCTAAATGTAAGATTTAAATTTTTTTATTCTCTAAATAGGACTTAAAAATGACCTAGTGGAAGAAATAATGCAGCGCGCGCGCACCAAATTTGGAATTAAACGCAGCGCGTGCACCAAATTTGACACTAAAGAAAGAAATTTGTAAGCAAAACTTATCTTTGATTATTTCATAAATATTTTTTGTTAGTTTGTTAATTCTTTTTTTTTTAAAGTTACGTACTCTCTATATCAATCTTGATGTGCATAAAAAAAGACCAAAACATGTGAATAAAAAAATTATTTAATGTAAGAAAATGTAAATTTTAATTATTTTGAAAAGTTGGACGTTGCAAAAAAAGAAGTTTAATATGTGCTGCAATTCGCGGAAGGGGGCTAATAATAATAATAATAATAATAACAATAAAATAAGATAAGGCCGGAAGGAATTAATTAATTAGAGGCACGTACAATGAATTGAAGATGCATGGGCTGGTGGAGTCCATGTCCGCGCCCAAATGTATGAAGAAGAAGAACATTTAATTAATTAATTAAAATAGACCCCTCATCACTAATTAACAACAACAATAATAATAATAATAAACACAAATTATTGATGTCCATATATAGATGCGTCCGTTCCTCCTTGTCCCGTCCTTGATCATTATTAAGGAGGCAAGAAAATTAACGTTTTTTTTAATTGGGATGGTGGTTAATAATGTTGATGATGTACGGTGGTAAACGGACCAAAATAAAAATTACAATGGTAAATTAAACTCAAATAAACAGTCTAGATTAGGAATATAATCAATATATTTGAAAGGATTGTATTGTGCGGGGTGAACACCATACATCTCATTCCTACCTGAAGATTTATAAGAGATCGAGGAAACAAAAGATACGATATGTTTACACTGCTTACCCAACTCCATTAATATGAAACCACTACAAGAAAGATGGCTTTTCGGTGCCCTTAAAAGTGTTGTTTGCCACACTTATAAATGTGGAAAAGATAATTTGCCACACATGACCTAAGTGTGGCTACGTAAATGTGGAGAATTTTTTGTCACACTTTTATGTAAGTGTGGCTAATGAATATATTTACGACACTTAGTATGTGTGGCTAATGTTTTGATTTGCCACACTTATATGTGTTTTTATGTCACCAACACTAGTAAGTGTTGCAAATGTCGTATTAATTTTTTTATAATATTAATATAAAATTCATTATTTATAACAAGATAACAATTATATTTTAATTATTGATCTTTAAATTAAAGAATTTTAATAAAGTACTAAATACAACTATTTTTTTAACAAAGCACACATGCATTTCATTAAAATCAAACCGCCAATAAGTAAGCCAATTCATAAGTATACAAAATCAATCTTGTAAAAATACACTACAACCATCACAACTATACATCAAACAAATGCATCAGAAAAGACTAACTCTACGTTTAGATTTACACTATGTTTGGTTCAAAGAATTTGAAAAGGAAAGGAAAAGGAAATGAGAAGGAAAATCTTTTTCTTGTTTGGCTAGATAGGAAAAGAAAAGAAGAGTGGAAGGAAAAGAAAATGAAGAAGGCAAAATGTACTAAGAGGAAGGAAAACCAATCAACAAAGAAACATAGCAACGTCAAACAAGCACAACCACACAAAATCCTCACACTAATGACACTATCATCAATAACGAATCACATATAAACCAAATTCAATAATCAATCTTGTGTAGTTAACAAATTCACGTAGAATTACAAATGCTTTAAGTTAGGGAACATGTCAAGCTCCTACATACCCCGTTCATTCTGTGTCTCCATCACCATCTTCATTTGTTGGGGGAAACCTCTTCCATATACCCGAGTAATCTCCTCTTTAATTGTTAGCAATTCACACGTTTGAGATGATCTCATCTCATCGAGCTCTTCCCTCAATCTTTCAGAAGTTGTATGATCCTGAGTTGAGGAAGAGGTTTGTTGGGAGAACACCCCATTCCAAAAAGTTAATTAGCATTTGCATCGGTTATTCCTAATAACCGATTCAAATACCCATTTGAATCGGTTATTAGTAATAACTGTTAAGGAATGTAGTAGGGTTTGTCGTTAACGGGCTCATTCTTGTTGGGCTTGTAATTAGGTCATGGTCTTGTAGCTATTATAAATAGCGGATCTATGTGTAATCAAATCATTCAAGTTTAGATCTAATTATATTTCTACATGGTATCAGCGCCAAATCTTGGGAAAACCTAAAATCCTAGTTTCCTCTAGTTTTCCGCTTCTGCCGCCGCCGTCTCCTGTGGGTTGTCCGGCGACGGCGGCTTCACCATCAGATCTCGTTACGTTCTTGTCATAGTCTGTGTGATCCAATCTTCAACATCATTCCGAGTTACCCAATTGTTCTTGGGCACCACAATTTTGAGTCGCAGTCATTAAAAGAAAAGGAAAAAGTGTGGCTGCAAGGTTTGCTGGCTAGTCCTCACATCTTTGTTTTATACGGTCAATTAATCCTCTTCTTAAATTGAGGTTTTTGGGCCGAAATTATTTGGCTGAAATTGGTGGTTCCCTCTTGAATTTATTGAATTTGTTTGTTTTGATTTGTTCGTGCTTCGAGGAAGAAGGTTTTTATGTTCACTCTACCGTTCATCGAAATTTGACGACGTTTTTGGTGACATTATTTTTTGTTGCTATTTGGTATGTTCAAGTGCAACCAGCTGTATGTTCGGCATGTTTGTTTGTGAGGTTGGTAGCATAGTCGCGCCTCAGTCCGGCAACACGGCGTCCAAGTTTGGGATGCTTGTTAGTCGTCCCCGTGTCACCGCGTGGGAGTCATTCGTCATCAAAACATATTGTTCGTTTGCAGGGCCTTCGTTCGTTGTTGTCACAGCAGATCAAGTTCAAGTTTTTTTTGTCCTAGTTTTTTTAATTGTCCAAGTTGTGCATTCGTTAACCTCATGCTCAACTTGATGGGGAGTGTTAAGGAATGTAGTAGAGTTTGTCGTTAACGGGCTCATTCTTGTTGGGCTTGTAATTAGGTCATGGTCTTGTAGCTATTATAAATAGTGGATCTATGTATAATCAAATCATTCAAGTTTAGATCTAATTATATTTTTACAATAACCGATGCAAATGCTAAACGGTACGTGAATTTTTTTAACATCTAAATCGTTTATTTTGCTTACCGATGCAAATGGGGGAATTTGGTCGTTTTTGTAGTAGTGCAGGTTTACTTAACTCTATTAGTATGAGACTTTTGGGAGATATACCTAAAAACAAATCTTTGGGGCTTGACGTAGAGCGAATAATATCATAATAATGCAGGGTTATGGTGTGAGGGCACACACAATCCCAACATATGGGACAACTTAACGTGAACGCTTGAAATGCTTTTGATTCATTGGAATAGTGATGTTAGTCGGATAACACGACTTCTGAGTTCGATAGACAAAGATACAAAAAACTAGAAAGACATGCGAAAGTTAAAATAACTGACCGAGAATAAATATTTTGAACGAAAGTATTCCTAGAAAAATTGTGGAAATTCTCTCCCTCGAGCTTTTGTGTTTTGCTCGATGTCATTTACCATAGGTAAGTTTGAGTTAATCTCGAAGTCCTATCAACTCGTGCTCGAGACTCGAGTCCAAGTCATGTAGCCGTGTCTTGAGGCCCGATGCCCGCATTGCGGCTAATGTGGTGATTTGACCGAGTGACAATTTACATAGTAGGCCGTACTGCTCATTGTTGTATTGCGCTTTTGAATTTTTCATTGGTAATTGTTTTTGTCCTCTCTACCTTTTATTTTGTCGTTTTTCATTCCAACTTAGGAGTTATGTACGGAGTAACGGTTAACCAATGGACCAAGGGGTTTCGGGACGTATAATCCCATAGGCATTCGTGTCTCCTTACTTAACTTGCAAATGTGCCAAGAGTTTTGTGATGTACGAGCCCAGATGCATCCTTGCTTCATTGCTACTTGCTAGACTTTCACTAGAATTTTGTGTATGAGAATGAATAGAAGAAAGTAATATTTCAAACTTAACCAATTAGGGTTCTCATCCCTCATTACATCATCGTCGGAATTTATTTTAGAATAGATAGAAATAGTCCTTATCTCCTTATGATCAATGTCGACAATTTTAAGATTTTATTTTTAGATGATTAAGGTAACATTTAAATCATTTACAAAAAATATCTTTTAAATCGTTCCTCCAAATTCTCAACCCTGGCACCTGCGTTCAACCGATCTGAACCATGCACGCCTCATGGCCAAATTGGGTCAATCCACCCGTTTGGCTTGTGGGTCGCACCCTGGGCCTAATTTGATCAATTACATTTCTCTTCCTTGGGCCTGAATACTTGCATTGGGCTTGTTATATTAGTAATTACCAACACCCAAAATACTTGGCACGAAATTTCTATTGAATCATGGTTTGAATTTTCTCTATTTTATTTTGAAAAATACAAATTATAATTTTAATAAAAAAACACAGTTATAAAACTAAATACTGGTGTTAGATAATTTTATCAAAATATTAAAATTAAACTCTGATAATTGTGTCAAACAAACACTACATAAAGTCTTCTATTCATTTTTTAAAGTCTCAATTATCAATCAAATAATTTTATTTTTCTTAAATTATTTAAAAATAATTTAAGAAACTAAATTGAGTATTTTTCATCAACACTACACCCAAACGAGTCTTTTCTTATAGTGGAGGTGACAAAACTTAAACCCGAGTACGATGCCCCGATCCGGAGGCTCCCGAAAACGCGGCCGCGGTGGCGGCGGAGGCCGAGCGGGAGGCGCTGGCAAGCGCCAAAATAAATCCAACTTCCAACAGCCGGCTATTCGCAGGTCTTCCGCCGCGCCTGGTGGGCGCCTGTCGTTCGGCAATGGGGTAGCTGGTCCCCGCAACCGTAGTGCCGCTGCTGCTTCCACGCCTCCGGCTCCTTCCGATGCAACAGAGGATACTTTTAGCCTCGTTTCCGGGGACCGTTTTCACTTTGCGACAATTATTCGGTTGACGCCGGACCTTGTGGAGGAGATCAAGCGGGCGGAGGCTCATGGCGCTACAACACAAATAAAATTTGGCTCGAATGCCAGTGACTCTGCTGGGAATGTCAGTTCATCTTTGTATTTCACAATTTCTGTAGTCTAATATGTGTTTTGAAGATGGAACTTTTATTTCATACCCGGAGTTTAACTCTGTGGTGTTTATTGCATTAGGGAGAAGCATTTATTTAACTGTCTTTTAGCGCTACAAAGGTAGTATCTTGGGAGGCATGTCATTGATGGGTCTCTAAGTTCAGGCATGAATTGCTAGCTTGTATCCTCCATCTTCTTGTAAGGCTTCAATTGGTTTCCAGTAATGTTATTCAGCACCATGGAAATTCATCTAGTGCAAACAAATATTAAGACAATATTAGGGATGTTCAGACTGAAAGTCACACCTCTTGTACCAGAAAACTGAACCCAGCTTTATTTGTTTATTACGAAGTACTATGCATCTTATATGACTTAATTATTTGTTTATCTTTTTCCCTGTTAAAAAGAATTGAACATGACTTCTTCATACTTGAGAGGTTGAACAGAGAGGAATTTTTGAAGGTTCAAGGTTGTCTTTGATAAAACCATGACAACTTTGTTGTATTGAATATATTTAATAGTTCATCTTATAGATCCAGCATGCTTATTGGCTGCTGTTCAAGGCATTAATTGATTTTGTTTTCCAGGTTATTAATGTTGGTGGTAAAGACTTCAGATTCACATGGTCACGGGATACGGGAGACCTCTGTGATATATATGAAGAACGCCAAAGTGATGAAGATGGAAATGGATTGCTTGTAGAATCAGGTAGTGCTTGGAGAAAGGTAAATGTACAACGTGTTTTGGATGAATCAACTAAAAACCATGTTAAAATGCTATCTGAGGAAGCTGAGCGCAAGTCCAAATCACGCAAGTATATTCTTCTTTTGTCATCTTTTCCTTTGTGTTTACTTGAATACTTGTTTGCTTACAATCAGTTTTGGATTTTATAATAATTTTTGTAAATTGCATTTGCTTATCCTCACTAACCATATTTCCTTATGCTATTTGCATGCTTTTGCATCTGGAAACAGAACCATTGTTCTAGACTCTCGCAATCCATCTACAAATAGTCAAGTGAAGGCAATGGATGCAGTAGAAGGTAAAACTTTTCTCTGGACTCCAGTATTTGTAAATTTACATATTTGTAACTTGCTGAGGCAAGTATGACTTTTTATAAGATACGAGTTTTTTTTAATACAATAGTTTACATTTGCACCAAAGTGAAACTCTTTAGCTTTCAGGAAATCCATGTAAAAGGGCTTTCAAACAACCGCCTCAGAGAAAGAGAAAATTTGAACCGCCTCCAGGTAGTTAAGATTTCAATCTCTTGGTTTCTTGTTGCATTTTTCTCCCCCAAGTATTCCATCCAGCATATGGTAAGCTGTACGTGAGTTGATCTTCTAGGTTTTTTATCCAAAGTCCTGATGTGTCTTGCATTTCTCATTCTTGTTCCAATCATGCATGCGCAGCAAGAAGCACTCCTAAAGCTTCTCAGAAATCTGGTTTGTCAACAATTACTTCATTTGGTTGCAAGAAAAGCACAAGTTCCAACCTTTGTGATTTACAGAGCACATTGACAACTGTCCTTATGGACAACCGATCACATGGAATGACCATCAAGGTGTGTGAAGAACTTTATTCGAAAATATATTAATGTAAGCTTAGTCTTTGTGAGAGTTAGATCCGCTCATCTATATTTTCTACTTGTGACTTGTTATTTCCTTGCATAGAATGGTAGAGAGTGTTCATATATGATATGTCATCAAAACTTTTAAGCTGAATCACATAAATGAATTTTTGTATTACTAGGCATTGGAGAAAGCTGTTCGAGAGGCCTTTCCAAACTCAGGAAGGCAATTTGAGACCATGCTTAAAAAGGTTTGTATCAAAGGTTATCACTTGAATAATTTGTGAGTAAAAGAGGGAAAGCTCTCTCTGTAATTTCATTGTAAAGTGATGATTTAATAACTAGTGTTGTTTTCCTATGAAGTCCGGGCTTCCGCCATAAATATGTATTGGAAAAGGATAAAAGAAATACCATAGTAATTTTCTTGTCTCTGCTATTTTTTTCTATTGTTATCTACAGAGTACATATTTAGCAACATCTAATATATTGTTCACATTAGGTTGCAATCTTTCGGGCTCCAGGCAGATATTTTCTTAAACCGGGAGTTGAGATGGAAACTCTCAAGAAATCAACAATCAACAATGGAAGGTATAATGTCTAGTATTTTAACATTCCTCAAGCTTGTGTTGTTTTTTGTGCATGCCAATCCAAGAAGTACATCATAGGATTAAAGCTTTAGTTGAAGATTTGTTTGTTATTAGAAGAACCCATAAGACTTCAGTAATTCAAGTCTATGGCAATATTCGTACTGTGAATGTTTTTTGTTCCTACTTCCTAGGGTGATTTACCTCTCTGCCTAGACTCCAACAGAGTTGGGATTATACTGGGTTGTCGTTGTTGTTGTTGTTGTTGTTGGGTGATTTACCTCGAAAACCCTATTGAAGAAACAAGGGTTTTCTCATCATAAAGGGGCTTTGTCTTTTGATTGGACGTCTCCTCCAAATCAACTCCTTGACTCTTCCTCTGACGGATATACTGCGATTATCTTAAATGAATAATACGGAGTAGTTGCTACCATTTTGTTGAACTGTCTGAGTTCCTTAGAGGCTTAGAGTAACATTTTTCCTAAGCTTCACAAAATTGATTTAATTTAATGGGATCCTGGTGGCACTGTGGCTTATTACTTGAGGATTCCTTTTCTGGACTCTTATTATAATATCAGAATTTCTCTTGCCAGTAAAGCCATTTGATTTTGACAATTTTATGGTATTGCAGCTATTCATGGTATATATCTTTGTCAATGCAATATTCGGTGGTTGTGATGTTTTGTTTTCCTTTTCCAGTTCTCCCGAAGAGAATAATAGCCACAAACCACCTAGCCATAATAAGCATGAAGATACTGCTCCAAAATCTAGCTTGCCGTTAAGAGCTGATACTGAAGCATTGGAAGGGCCATTACAGTTAAATTATAATCTTGAAGATGCATTAACTTCCTTAGAAAAAGTAGATATAATCCAAACTTCACCTGACTACTTTGGTGAGAAAAACGCCCCTGATCACTCTAAAGGACCAGCAGGTATCTCTAGTGATAGTGAAAGTAACAATAGTGATAGTGTAGGTAAAAGCGGAAGCAGAAGCCTTGGGGGCACCAGTGAAAGTGACGCCTCTTCTAACAATGAGTCATCAAATGATGCGGTGGGTATTTTGGGAAGTGATGATGACCGGGGGGCAAAATACGAGCAGAAACTTTCTAAAAATAGGTTATCAAAATTTCCTATTCAATCAACATATCAAGATTCTGAACCCACCCAAATCAGGATTGGCGAAAATAAATGTACTCGTGTTGCAGACATCTTGGAGATTGAGAAAGACTTGCCAGATGTGGAAATTACCAATGTTAATTTTGGATCAGTTCTGATAGAAGAAAACCGAA